GACCCATGTAACCTTCAGTTCCATCCTTGTGTGTATCAGCTAAAAATAGAAATGAAGGGCAAGACACCTATAATTTTTTCCCTAGTGCTACTTTAATCCTCAAATGAAGGTTTTTTTAAAAAGGTTGACAAATATTTATCAGGTCAAGTTTATGATAGTTATGCGTCATTTACATAGGAAATTTGGTGGCTGCCTTGTCCATAACTCCTGCTACTTTTGGTAGAATTCACCGCCCCCTCATGATCTTAAATAGTCACGCCGCATAGCAGCAGGCATATATCTGCTTATTAACTTAAGGAGTTTACCCTTTGCTCTCAGAGTTGCTTTATAGCTAAAGACAGAATAACTGACAAATAATGTGGCTGCCATGAATTCAAACATGAATCTGTTTGCTAATATTTAAAGCAGCTTTATTGAAAGACTAATATATATAGAGTTCACCAGTGTCAGCTGGGTGCTCGAGTCATTGCAGTTCAAGGCTGGATGCTCAGTATTATTGGCTTAGAATCTCATTTTTGTCAGCACTAGAGAAACAGCATGCTAACTCAACTCACAAGAGCCTGATGTGCAAACATAATTAATGTTAGAAACTTTCAGTGAGAAATCACAGAGCAAGGAAAATGAAACACTAGCCACTGCTCTGGTAGGAAACCAAATTGCCACGCACACATTTGTTTGCTGAGTTTGGAATTAGGAAAGGAGTTTTGTCGGCTGGTTTCACAAAATTATTTATTGAATTCTCTGCACAGCAGGCCCCCAGTTCCTGCCTTTGCACACATGGGGTCCAGCCCTCAGAGCAGCACCAGAGGAATCTGTGTGTACTGAAACAAGCCTGAATTAGAGTTAGTGTCTGAGCCTGAGTGTAAATCCGGTTCTTTGGAAGTCCTTACCCTTAATTATTTCATTGGTGTTCTCAACAACATCAGTGACTTTGACTTTTCCAAGCGAGCCTTGGGAAATCCAAGGATGTAATTCCAACCTGCTCCCAGGGACAGGAAAGGAGCAGTCTCAGAACTTCAGCTTTGCTCTACAAAGAATTTACACAGGGAAACTTAGGACTGCTTTATTGCTAATTGCAAACACTTGGGAGCAACCAAGTTTTGCTTCCTTCGGTTGGTGAATGGAATAAGTTAACTAGACAGTGGGCATTACTCAACGCTATAAAGAAATGCGCTCATAAACTGTGAAGTGACACGCTGGGAAATGCATATTCTGAATGAAGAAAGCTGATCTGAAAAGGTGACTTATTTTACTATTCCGATTATGTGACTAAAAGCCTGAAGATAGTTAAAAGGCCAATGCCTTGAGGAGTTAGGGCAATGGAGCAGGGAGGGGAGAGCTGCAGAGGCACTGCAGACTTTGAAGGCAGTGCAATCACTCTCTGTGACACTATAATGATAGTGACACGTCATCCTGCATTTCTCCAGACCCACAGGATGCACCCGGAGAGTGAGTCCTATTATAAAGTATGTGAATTTGGGTGACAGTGAGGTATCATCAGTGGTACACAAGGCACCACTGAGGGTTGCATATTAATAACAGGTGATCATGTGTACATGTGCAGGTGTACATGTACACATGCAGGAGGTATGGAATTTCTTTATTACAGCTTAATTTTTCTATAAACATAAAGTTGCCATAAAACATAAAGCTCCAAAAAAAGAAGATCTTGACATTTCGATATTTGAAATTATGGAATGTGCTGTATTTACCATGCCTAATAAATGTGTATACTTTTCTGCATGTATATGCATGCATCATGTATGATTATATATGTATGTAAACATGTATATAGATATATGTGTGTATATACTGAATAGTCATTATCATTAGGCTCAGAATGTGAGACATACTAACCTCTAAAGATCTGTATATAGTAAGTGTCCCTCCTGCTGGACAGTTACTGAACAAGGAGGAGAGTCCTGGCTGAGGTCTCACAGAGCTGGGCTTCCATCCACATCCCTTTCACTGTGTGGATGGACCGACACCTGTGACCAGAGCTCATGAGGTCCTGTCAGAGTGACCTCTATTGCACATTTCACTATTTCTGTCCTAGGAGTCCCTGGTCTGTTTCTTTAGGGCAAGACTTTACTATACATACAGTGAGCTTATTTGTATTCCTCTCTGAAGGCCGCTTCCATTGCATATTTTTTGCGAGCAAGGATCCTACATCTTTGAGCTGCAACATGAGTGTATGCCACTTTCGGGATACTGGGATGCAGCCTCCTGACTGGGCTCTGTATCCTGGAGGAACCCTTTTTATCAGTGCTTCTCACTGGCATGCCAGTGGGTCAGCAGCCCGGTGCTCCAGTGAGGGAAGATGTGGCTAAATCTTGAATTCTTACTTATGGGACACCAGTACAGTTGCTGCTATTGGTCTGTTTGTGAAAAGGGTCCAACGACAGTGAAACATTGGAGCGGACGACCACAGACAGTCAGGATGAGGGTCGGCATGTTCCCACCTTCCCTGGACTTCTAGGATCGGTGATCCTAGACTGGACTTCTAGGATAGGTCCTCCTGTCCTTGTTGCAGTGTCCTTATGTTTCTGGACTCTGATTCACCACCTTATGCATCCTTCTCCCAAACAGCACGTGGGACATTCTCCAGGCACATTTGCACTACACTTCTCAATTCTGGAATTTTCAGAAAATGATAACAGTAAGGAATGCAGCAGTCTTTGCCGGTTTTTCATTCATGCTGTTCAGACCAAGTTTCTCGTGGATCATCAGATCCAAATGTTCATGAGGTTTTCCTTCACAGCCTTCGGGAAGCAGCTCTTTATCCAGGTATTGGCAGTGCTGACTGGCAGCACCGAGCCACACACAAGCTTGGGTTTAAAGGAAGAATTATTCCAACCAGGGAAGAAAGATTGGTCATCTTTCCTGGCAGAAAATGAGCAAGTGATTTTGGATGCCTCTTGTACTCTGTAAGGTGGCAAACAGGTCCAAGTGGAATTAAGATTTAACCAGTGACAAACACCGCTACATATGGAGCCTGGGCTTGGCTTTCCAGTTTGGCCCAGCTATTTTGTTTTGCAGTGAAGAGCTAAAGTACAACAGGTTGTAACACTCCCCCCTCCCCTTTGCTCCCTTCTTCTTTCCCTCTCTCCTTTCTTTCCTTCCTGTCCTTCCTTCCTGTCCATCCATCCATCCATCCATCCATCTGGTGGAGCAAAGACTTAACATTTTATTTTACTTTAATTGACCGAAAGTTTTAGGGCTCCATGTGATGAATCCATACTCCTGCACACTGTGTGAGGCTTAATCTGTTTAATCTCATGTAATGTTACTAATTTTTGGGAGGAGGCAGATATGAAAGCCTCAGATATATTGGAAAAGAAGAAACCATTTTCTGCTAATGATTTCTTACCCTTCCCATGTATAAATTTAGGAAAGTGTGAACTTTTTATTTCAGTTTCCTGAAAGCTGCCTCTGACTAACAAATAAAAAGAAACTTTTTTTGAAGTTCAGAATGAAGAGCTGGCATGGTGGCTCTTTGCTGGTAATCCCTGTACCTGGGAAGGTAGGGCCTGAAAGATGGCAGTTTTCAACTCATTTTAAGTAATTTAGCAATTTAGCAAGACCCTCTCTCAAAATCAAAAATAAAATAATTAGGTCCAGGGTTCAAAGTCCAGTCCTGTAAACAAAAACAAACAAAAAGGAGAAAGTAAGGGAATCCTCTACGTCCCTTTCCCCACCATATTTAAACTTTTTTTTTTTTTAAATTTATTTCCTGGGAGAAAATGTGTTATCTGACCTTTGGCTTCATTTATTCCGTTGTCTGTGCAGTGTGTGCACTCCGTGGAGCTGCTTTTTACTAAGATTCTGTTCTGACAGGACGATGGGCCAGGAGGAGAAAATGCATTTGCCCGCCCTTTCTTTTCATTCCTGAAGCCCTGGCAGGAGAGGAAAGTGCTGTTCTCCCTTGATCCGTCTCTATCAAGGCCTCGCTTTTGTATAGCCATGCCCTACAGGAATGAGGCAGCAAATAGACAGCAGGAGTGCTTAACCTGTCACAGCCAGTTCAGTGGATTACCCACCCCACACACCTTCTGTACCAGGATGAACAAAGCAGTGTGGGCTACACAGTCTGGCCATTCTAGGCAGAGCTGCCCTGGGGACTTCAAAATGGCCAAGGCGTGAGTACCGGGACCACGTCTCCAGGACATCGTGATAGCAAGGTGTATTTTAACATTTATTTGCATTCACCTTGAACTTAAATTCTACCATACCGCATTATAACCAAGGCATGAGCGTGATCAAAACCACATTCCTTGCTGTTTTTCAAATCCCAGGACTGCTCAGCTGCTACTTGCTTGTTAAACGTGGCTAATCAGGGTCCCACATTTCAGCCATAAGCTGAAAGCTGATTCTAAGCATTGCCTTGCAGAGAAGTGGCCTTCATAACAGCACAACCTAGGCCTATAAAGTTGTTTGCACTCACCACTGCTTGACCCTTGGAAGTTGGATGTGCATGGATATGGATGTACATACAGACTGATTTCACATTTCTTGCAGACTTACAGTTTGGCTTCTTGCATTTTTATGGATAATTGCACCATAGGCAGGCCTAGATGTTCAGACCAGACAAATTTGTTTTTGTTTTTGTTTTTTGAGATTTTTTAAATGCCAGGATGATAAGAGGTAAGTTTTAAATGGTGTCATTAATATTTGGCTCAGATGGAAAATCTAACCCTAGTAACTACTTTAAGCTCAAATACTTACAATTTCTTCTCATTGAGAAAACCAGTGGTTCGTCTTTATTTGAAGGGCCATGAAGTGTCTCAAAGGTCACTATTGTTTGCCCAGATAATAGTGGTGTTTTGCCTGCATTATATGATCCCAACTTTTTAATACTGCCAATGTATATACCAAACACTTTTTCTCAAAAATGCCTTGAATTTACTTGAAATCATGTATTTCATTTTGGTGACAAGTTCTACCCGTGGAGATGTTTGGCTCACACACACTTCTTGCTTTTTGTGTTTCTCTGTGCCCAGGCCTTCTGCCTTATCTAGTAGTCCAACATATTCAGACCTGCCCTTCATCAGAATCTCCCCGCACCGGAACCCCGCTGCAGCATCTGAGTCTCCCTTCAGCCCTCCGCACCCCTACATCAACCCTTATATGGACTACATCCGCTCCCTGCACAGCAGCCCCTCCCTCTCCATGATCTCAGCAGCCCGAGGGCTGAGCCCTACAGACGGTAAGTTCCAAACCTGGTCTGCGCCCACAGATCGCATCGCCTCCTCCCAGTGCAGCACCTGGGATATTGTACTCAGAGTGATAAAAGTAATGGTAAATATTTAAAAGTCTATTACAGTACACATACATCACCGTTCATTCCCCTTAACACACTCCCCTCTCTTGGAACACACTTATCCCATCGTTCTTGCCACTTTTTGAAGCAGTTCTGGAAGTCCTTTTTCTTAAGTGTCTATTCATGGTGACTTTAGCGTCCTGGATTAATTCAAAATGTTTACAGCGATTTCTGCCAAATGAGAACATTACTGTGTGCCCTCATCCACCTTATTCACTGGACCTTGCACTATGCGACTTCTGGCTGTCCTGCAAGGTCAGCAGGATGAGGGAAGTAAACATTTTGAATTGATTCAGATCATCAAAGCAGCCACAGCAGTACAACTAAAGACACTCAGGAAAAAAGACTTCGGGACTGCTTCAGAAAGAAGCCAGGGTGATAGGATAAGTGTTCAAAGCAAAGGGCAGGGTTTTGAGAGAAATGCATGGCAATTTGTCTTTTATTATATTTTTTAAAATTTAGATATACACCAAAGGTTATTTTAAAATTGTATTTCATGCTAGGTAGATACATTGTTTAGTGCTTTCTGCATGCTAGACATCAAACTAAGCGCTTTAAAGGTGTGATTTTATTCTAGCATTGCAATAATTCTCTGTGGCTGGTATTGCAACTTTTATTTGCAAGTAGAAATAGCAGAAGAGTAGCAGAGGGATCTCTTACAAACTTGCAGCCTGATCATCCCTTCACTGGGAAGTGGCAGAGATGGAACCCAAATCCAGATCTTCCTAACTCCCTCGTCCTTGCTCTCTACCATTGTTGTCTTTTGTGACTTCACATGTGATTACTGGCTCTACAGCTGTTTCTGCATGTGGATCAGTAACTGGAAGGTTGTCACCACCTTCTGATGAAGGCTGTTTTGTTCTGTATGTTGGTGAGACACATTGATACAGCAGTGTCTATGCGAGCACTGTTTCATAAACTAACAAGCACACAGTTCACTTGAGATTTGGATAAAATAGGATACTGCATTGGGTGGAGTCTGAGATTCTGCACTTGTAAAAACTTTGGGTGATGCCAGTGGCTGGCTGGCTTGTGGGCTATGTTTTCAATAGCAAGGTCTGAAAAACATGACGGTCCAGACCTGCTGCATGGCTTTAACCATGCCAAATAGAAAAAGAATCTAAAACAAGAATTATCAGGAAAAAAATGAACTCAGGCTTTATTTCTGATATTTAATGTTTAAGACAGTTGTCCTCCTCCGGCTTTTTTGTTTTCTTCTGATTGAAGGCAGTAAATAAACCTGTAAGATCTTCAAGGAATAAGTTTTGCTACTTGAGCAAGACTCACATTCTTAAAATCACATAAAACTCTGAGAGAGTCAAGTATGAGTTGATTTTACTGCTTCGGCTTTGACTTTACAGTAGGAGAAATAGAGTCATCTTCCTGAGGTGTAGGGAGTTGGAGGAAATGTAAAACCTAGAGAGTGGGTAGAGGTCGTCAGGGAAGCTAGGAATTAGCCTGGCTTGCAGAAATGTATTTGGGCCAGGGGAAAAGTGGTATCTGTATAGGGTCTGATCAAAACATACTGAATGTTTAAAAATTTTAAGATGTACCACAAGAATTTTATTGTTCTTGCTACTTTCTGGAGCACTTCTGAAAGTCTCTTTTGTTGAGTGTGTTCATGAAGTATGATAAAAAATATGGTGGAATGCTGCTACTGAGGGCCATCCAAAGGAAAGGCAGGCTCATCAAGACATTGGAGTGTCTTTGTCCAACTTACTTACTGGATCGGGCACTGTGTGACCTGTGGTCGTTTTCCAAAAGTCATAATGACCATGAAAGATAAACGTTTTGAATCCATTCAGGATATTGAGGTAATCAGCACAAGGTAACTAAAGACACTAGAAAAGAGACTTCCAGACCTGCTTCAGAATATGCCAAGATCCATGAGTTAACTGTGTTCAAAGCAAATGGTAGTATTTTGAAGGGGATCAACTCAAAATACAAAAGCAAGGTATCTTTCATTGTAATAAAAATTTTAAAATGTAAACATTTCCTGTAGTTTTCCATCATACCTCTAGTTACTCTTCTGAAAACAGACTCAAATTCTGCTTTACATAGCATTTGGTGAGTAGAATAAAATATTCTTTGGCTGATCTAGCTTCCTTTTCCTGCCTCCTAAGATACCAGTTAATACCGTCAAATAATATTACTGTAATAATTTCCTCTTCTTTCTAACGGATTTTGTTATTTCTATCTTTACCATCTATCGTGCATAAAAAATATGTGGGCACAGATATAAAGATCTACCGAGCTATGGCCTGAAAAATGCTAGTTTTCCTAGGTAATCATTGTAAAAGTAGTGATTACCGATACAATAAATACTACGTGCTAAGCACTCCACATGCACACTTTGACTCTTTGCTCTCAAAACCTCGTGGAACCAGCTTGAATCCAGATCTCCATGAAGCTGGAAGCCACCCTCAGGACTGCTACAATATCTTGCTGCTTGTGCACATAAATTGGCGAAAGAAAACCGATTATTATCCCACTTGTAGAAGGCTGACTCTTGCCAGTAAATTGCTCCAGATTGATAGGTATATTTTCTTTTGGATTTTTTTTGCAATGAAAAAAAAGGGAAAAGAGAGCTTTTAAATTATGGAACATGAAATTGCAGCTTATCATTCCGGTGTATGTCATTAAAGTCACACTGCCTTCTTTCCCCGCCTGTAAACTCTGACTCCTCACATTAGCAAGCATTAACTCAGACACTCCTGTCAAAAGTTTAGGGAAGTATTTTAAGTATGTCTGGAAAGATCACAATTGTCTGAGTCGTCTACTGTTGCGAGAAATGGGGACATATCTGGTATGAGAAAACCATTTTACGTTTAGGGGCAGACATGGCTATGTACCCTCGCCATGTGCTGTCTGGCTACATTTTAGTCAGTGTTTCAGGAGCAGCAGGGTCTCTAAGACTACTTGGCATAGTGACATTGTTGCCTTAGTTTGTTTAAGTATATACTGTGGTGTTCCTGCAAGGGCACAATCACCTAATAATGTTTTACTTTGGCCTAGGGATTTGGCTCAGAGGTGTAAGCACTTGCCTGGGCAAGCATACGGTCATGAGTTTGATCCCTGGTACAAAATAATAATAACAATAATAATAATAATAATAATAATGCTTTTCTCAGAATGTATCCTCTTCTTGAGGGACGCATAGATTTTAATTCCTTTCTGTCTTTGTTGGTACAAATAAACTAACAGCAAAAAACATCACAGTGTGTTTTATGTTTTTCTTTTCCTTCAGATTTACTTTTTTTTTTTTTTTTTTTTTTAAGGATACTTAAAAGGGAGGTTGGAGGGAAGGGAGGTGTATAAATGATCCAAATACGATAAGTATATATGCCAATTCCCCAAGATGAATGTGATTATATGTAACAAACATGTACTACTAATAAAAATTTTTAAAAGATATTTAATATCCTTGAAAGCAATTTGAAAACAAAGGAACTTTACTTAAAGAACCACAAAATAAATTGTGTTTGAGGCATACATGAGAAGTAGACTTGAGACGCCTCGAGAGATGTGTCCATTTGACCTCTTCCAGTTGTCACCACAATCCTGTCTTGTCCCTAGCCCCCCATGCTGGAGTCAGCCCCGCGGAGTACTATCACCAGATGGCCCTGCTGGCCGGACAGCGCAGCCCCTATGCCGACATCCTTCCCTCTGCTGCCACCAGCGCAGGGGCCATCCACATGGAATACCTTCACGCCATGGACAGTAAGTGAAGACACTGCGTCTTGGAGCCCTGGGGGTGGCAGACGCTAACTCACGTTCTGGAGGGAAAGATGCAAAGGTTAAGTGACAATAGCCTTCCGGTGCAGGAGAGGGGAAGCATCTGCACTCAGTGCTCTGTTTTCTTTGATGTCTAAAGAAGGTTCCACAGACCCAGCCTACCTTTAACCCAGGGGTTCCCATGACCTGAAAGATGCAGGCAACTGTAGATTAGTGTACAGTGGACCTGGCTCTGTAACTCTTTGGTTTCATAGATTTATTTCATGCCTTAAAAAATAAGTGAAAAACGAGTGCCAGGTGCATACCTGCAATTCCAACATGAAAGGGAGGCTGAATCAAGAGGATCACAAGTTCGAGCCCAGCCTGAGCAACTAAGCAACTTAGTGAGACCCTGTCTCAAAATGAAAACTGCAAAAAAGGGCTGGAGGTGTAGTTCAATGCCCTGGACTTGCTGCCCGGTACCACAGCGGGGGAAAAAGTCAGGAAACAAACAAACAAAATTTATACTTGGTTTTACATTTTTTATGTTAAATGATTTATTTTGCCACATAGTCTCCTTTGTATTAAAACATTTTATTTCACTAAGGCCTACTGAGTATTGGAGGGTCAGAGTAGCTACATCCAGGAAAGATAAGAAACATTTCCAAGTCAGAGGATCTATTTTCAGTAGACAGCAGTAGAAGAAAATGGGGTCATTTGATGTGTGTGGCACTTAGTTGGAGGTCTTTAAGGCACAGGGAGACTCCTTTGGGTCACAGGTGAGTTTATGGTTATTGCCACTCAGGGCATCTCAGAGGTCTTCTCTCTGCAGCAATGACCTTTTCAGTACAGGTCCTTTGTGGCACAGTCCTGAATAGTGAACCCATACGTGTCACACATCTACAAAAGCCCCTCACTTTGAATTTGATAATGCAGCTGTGAGTAAGGCATGCACTTAAAGTTTTGCTTCACTTAGTACCTTGCTTAACTTACAAGTTTGCATCTACAGTCTGCTTGAATTCTTGTGATTAACGTGTGCATTTGTTAGCTGAGCTAGTTCAGTTCTCTGGTGATAAAAGGGGGAAAACGATTGGTCCACCCAGGGGTAGATATTGACTGACTTTCCACCCAGAAAGGCCCTGGAATAGCCCCTAGAACCCTGTGCTTGTATTGGGCAGCTCATTACCACACACAAAGTAAAAGAAATGTTTTACATCATTTGCTGAGGTTGTGTTGTTCTGCAGTGAGGGGAGCACACATTTCAGATTCATCATAATCACATTTCAATTAGTGATTGTTGCACAGAAAAAAGTTCAGCATTATTATGCAAATCAGTTATTTAAAATCTGCAAATAAAGAATTAAAATAAGAGAGACTTCTTGGAAGGTCAGCCTGAGACATTACTTTCCCTATTTGATGAGAATGTGTTTAGTCAGGCAGTGGCGGTTTTTATCTAAATAAAGGATGAAGCTACCCTTTTACTTTGTAAAAACTAATTAAAGGAATTTTAATTTGCCACAGTATATGGTAAATTGATTGTCATTAAGTAGGAATTTAGATGTCCTATCATTCATCACGGAGAAAGAAACCTCCTTTTTCTTTGTCAGGATTTTTTATTAGGCTAGAGAAACAAAACAATTAACAGAAAGCCAGATTGGAATTCCCTATGTTGGAACAATAACTCTCTGGCTTCTGTTTCAGAAGGAAGTGGCCTCATCAGTCTGCTTGTCTTGCAGCAACCTTGAGAACGCTCACCTTTTGTTCCCACAACTTCCTTCATCAAAAATCCCAAATCAGTGTCCCCAAGTATCCCACTGGTGTCTTTTTCTTTCTCTTGATGACAAGGGCTTGCCAAAGTTCCACGAGCCGTTTCTCTAAAGTAACTGAAATAGCACTTAGTTAGACAGAGCATAAGACACCTAAGGTGAACCTTCTAGAGAATTCCGTGATACAGAGAGCCCCCTGCGATACCCAAGCTATAGGTCTGCTGCCACTGTCGTAAAATAATGAATATCTACAAATTCAGATTATATTCCACAGAGGATGGAACTCTTAGTCTACTGGCACTTCTAGTAGCTGGTCACTGCAATAACTGGTCACCCAGCTGGTCACTCCAGCCCTTTGTTTGGGGTCCCTAGAACTCTTTCAATGTTTAATACCCCTATGAACACTTGTAGATACACCAACAATGGACACATTTGGGTTGGTGAGATGGAAATATTTTCATGTAGCAAGTTAGAGTGAACAAGTCCATCTGTGGCTTTAAATTACATATCTTGGGGTTAGAGTGACCTTAAAGGATACAATAGTATGTCATCTCTGGAAGGAACACCTTAAAGTAAGGAGTGCCTGAAATTCACACTATTTATATTGGCAAAAACCAATTTAAGTAAGAGCCATTCTTAGTGTGAACACAGTGAGCAGATGCTCCAGGCAGGTTGTACACGACTCCAAGGATTCACAGAAAGATGGAGGAGGTCTTGTCTGGGCCCTGAACTCTGGCTTTGCATGATGTGTGAGGAGTGAAGGCCTCTAGTGTTTCATTGGATCAGGTGGCTCCCTTATCTCCAGAATCTTTTTACTAGTGTCCAGGAATGAGCCCTGTCCAGTATGTCTTGCTGTTTCTAATTCTCAATCCCATTTCGATGGTCTATTGTTAAGGATTATCTGGAATTTGACAATAAGTCTGCTGTGTCTTTGGGATCATTTGGATTTTGGCTTGTGTTTCTTCATTAACACGATGAAATTAGCTTTTCATAGTGAGTCAGTGAGAATATAGGTAAGTAGCTGATTTAACTACTAACAGATGTGTACATGGCTGGCATTACTGTTTTTGTAAAAACATGTCCTCAATCAGGCTAGTAATGAAATATTCTAAATGCAGGAACTTTTATGTGCCTGATCTCAGTACTCTGGTAGACTAAAGCAGAGAGACAGCAAGTTTGAGCCTAGCTTGGGCAAATTAATGACCTTGCAAAATCCTGTGTCAGAGTGAAAAAGACTTGGGATGTAGTTCAGTGCAAAAGCCCTGATTCAGTCTCCAATACTACCCAACAAAGTACCTGAAAGAAAAAGTTGAGTAGGTACTACATTTGCCTTTCAATTGGCTTTCCAGTTTTATACCTAGATGGTAAATTTCAGTTTGTGGTCACAGTATTAACTATGAAGAGTCTCATATTCATTTATCTTGTTTTGTCAAATTAATCATGAAGCGTGTTGATTAGCTTATGTCAAGATCCATCTCTGTTGAAAAAATATTTCCAGTGAATTTTTTGAAGACCAAATGCCTGGACTTTGTTCTATGAAGAAGGTTTAGCTCCATTTCTGTTTTCTGGGTACCGAAAGTGCCACATCTCTGTTAGCAGGTGTACCCATGCTGTGAGGTGGGAAGCTCTCAGCTTGTGCTCACAGCTGTTCTGTTTGGTTTTGCCACTTTCCCAGCGGACTGTGCTCTCATTCTTTCATTAGACTTTGGTTTGATGACTCTGCAATGTAAATGTGACCTTCAGAAAGGCAGGAATGGACCTGTGGGTCTCATTCATTCCTATACCCTGAGATTCTGATTTTAATACCTACCAAATTTGAATGCAAATGGAAATTTAATTTTTAACTCAACAGGCAAAATCCATTGTATTAAATTGGCATGCGTATAAGTTGAAATGTGTGTCTCCAATTCAGGATTCCATTGATGGAATCTTGTGGAAGGCTGCGAATCCTAGAACTGTATTTTCCTCTGTTGATTCTAATGGGAGAAGAGAGATTCACAGAACAATCAGTACCTTATGGATACATGGAATCGCTTTTGTACTTCTGGGCCCACCATACAAAATCTACAAACAAAACATTCCACTATTGGAAGTGCTTATTGGACTTTATATTAAGTGTTTGTTGGCCTTAGTATTTCAGACCATGGTCTCCAATCTTGCCACTGTTGAGCCAAACAATCTTAATGTGGGGCCTTCCCTGTGCCCCACAATGTATTTAGCAGAATTCCTGGCCTCCACTCTCTAGATGCCAACAACACTTCCTACATGATGATGAACCAGCTGTCTCCAGATGTTGTCAGAGCTCCCCTGAGGTTAATGTCACCCCCAGTTGAGAACAACTGATTTAGGGTTATGTTTTTACAAGTTGTTTTAGGGATGCTTTAAGTATGCCATGGTGCAGCTAACTGCAGAAAACATGGAAAGGGGAGGCATCACTTAACTGGGTCTTTTCTTTTAGGATCACTTTCTCCTTTGGCTCACTGCCTTACAGTGGTGTATGTGGAGTGGGGAGGGTGCTGGTGTGTTGCCACTGTGGGAATCACTGTCTTTGTCACTTGTGGTGAATTAATGATGGGAATATCTAAGCAGCTGTCAGATTCATAAATCACTAGAAATGAGAGGATAACACATAAAAGTCTCTCCCTTTTGTTTAGCAATTTATCATTTTGCCTGCACATTAATAAACAGAGCTTCCCTGAGGTAAGCCCTGGGAAGATAAATATTTCTTCCTAATTTCTTCAATTGTAGCCCGTAGATCCCTGGGGGAGGAGAGGTACTTGTCACCGCAAGTTGCTGTCTTCTTATCCCTCACTTCTTTTGCGTGGACAAGTGGCAGTCAATAATGAGTATGGAGTCCAGTTGTGGTTAATCAGGTTGTGTTTTAACAGGCACCAGATTCCCCAGCCCTAGGCTGTCAGCCAGGCCGAGCCGGAAACGTACACTGTCCATATCACCGCTGTCTGATCATAGCTTTGACCTTCAGACCATGATAAGGACTTCTCCCAACTCCTTGGTCACCATTCTCAATAATTCCCGTAGCAGCTCTTCAGCAAGTGGCTCGTACGGTCACTTATCTGCAAGTGCAATCAGGTACGTATTTCCTCAATCCATGATGTGTTTTTCTAATAAAGTGTCAGCACCTGGATGCATTGGTGGTGATACATCCACTGGGTATACAAGAAGACCTAAGGAAGAATGAGATGGGTGTCTCTGTGTCTAGACCAAGATGCAGGTCAAATAGTAAGACAGTGAATTAAGGGGCACTTTCTGAGTATATCAGGCAGTGTCTGTATAGAGAAATACGATTAGTCAGCTATGATGAAATCCACTATTTTTTCACCCAGTACCAGGAATTGAACTGAAGGCCTTCATATCTAGCTATGTCTTTTTTGTTTTTTGAGACAGGGTCCCAGTAAGGTGGTAAATCACTCAGCCCAGGCTGGGATCAAGCTTTCTCTCCTCCTATATCAGATTCTGAAGGTGCAGGGATTATAGGTATATGCACCACACCCAGTTGAAATCTACTTCTCAGACACAAGTATTGTGGCAAAATCTTTGTGTCTTGGCCTTCTTTCACTAAGGATATTTCTGTAGGGCAAAGTTGACTTCATATCTGGCACATTGAACAGGAGAAAAACAAAAGTCATGGCAGAAATCTCACTCAGCAGGTGATCAGGGAAAGTAGTCCGCTGTGAGGAAGGAAGAAAAAGATAACGGTTGTGATTTTAGTCTAGTGGAAAATCCAGGCAGAGGCCAGAGTGGGCTGTTCAGTGATCAGTTATCAGAGGAAATCTGGCAACAGAATTCTTCCTGACTTTCCTATGGCATATATTAGTTAATTTGAAATATCTCAACTTTGTACATTTGCCAAACAATTGTAGAATTTTGAGCCTTCTTTATGGGAAAGTAATGAATGTAAACATAATCATCACATAATTAATATAAAGTATTTGTCATTGTTAGTGGTCGAACTTGGACTGATACCAAGCAGCAAAATACGAAAATAAGCTCATTTGGAATTTTAGGTTATTTAAATTGCTTTGGTCAGCTAAGCATGTCTTGTTTAAACTGCGCTAGATTACAAATCACAGAGACAGAATTAAAATAGTATTCTAATTAGTGAATTAAGCATCCCTAGTTATAAACTTTAACCTATGGTTTTGCTAACATTTTCACCAGAGATTTGGAAGTATTTTTAAATTATCGTTTTGTGAACCACAGAGTGTTTCTTGCATTAAAAATACAAAGGAATTGGGTATGGTGGTTCCTGCTAATAATCCCAGCTACTCATAGGGCTGAGGCATGAGGGTCACAAGTTTGAGGCCAGCCTGGGCTACAGCATGAGCCCCATCTCAAAAACATTTAAAAAATAGTGTAGACTGAAGGCTGTTTTCACCAACCTTCCTTTTGATAAGCAACAGCAATAATTTTTGTGTTTATTTCTATGCGTAGGCAAGAGCTTTAGTTGTGAATTGATGGCTGGTATGCATACAGTGTTAGAGTAAGTCCGCAGTTGATAAAAAAGATTTTTAGCAGTAGTAACATAATCATATTTAATAGAAACAATGAATTCCATTGTTCTTCCATAATACCCTGAATTATAGTTTTGATCCTTTTCTGGTTCAGTTATCAGCAATGCTTCTTGGCAGGCAAGTTAAAGTTTAAATGTTAATCAATTTTAGTTTTCATATGATGTCATACCCAGTGGCTGCAATTTATTTTTTTCATGTGGTCCGTAAGGTTGGTAAATGTGGAGTGAAGCAGGTAGTTGTGCTTACATGACAAGAGCAGTACAGAAGGAGGCTTCTGGGCCGTTTCCAAGATCAGCCGCGAAGTCACAAGGGAGGCTTTGGAGCCACACATGGGTAGAGTCAAATTTCAGCTTTGCCTCTAGTCAGCTGTATAAACTTTCCTTACCCTCTGCTCTGAAGTTCAGGCTTTGCTTTGAAAGCTGCAGGTGAGACACACAGTGGATTGGAAAGGGACATGTTTTATTAAAGCCATTGTGGACCTTTAGTGGTGGGATGAGGTCCCTCCACACAGAGGAAGTCGTAGGAGAACTCATCTGGGCTGCTCTGTCTCAGAAAGCAGCTTTATGGCTGACTGGGCTGCACCAGTGAGCATCTTGCTGTCTGGCCCAGTTCCTGGCTGTTCCTACATTTCAGGCAAATACTCCTGGGTCCCAGGTCAGAGGCAGCTTTGGACTATATCTCACTTTGCTGAGATTGCACAGTTATTATGTCACCTGAGCAGGCGTCACAGCATCTAAGTGGATGTGTGGCACATGGTGATTTTCATACAGATGATGTTCACCTGGAATCATGTGGTGAGCCACTGTTTCTCTTCCTTCTCAATTCTTTCCCTCCTCCCAGCTACCCTGACTTTGTACACATCTCAGGGACTGGGTTATAATGTGGCCCAAAGTGGCCACTGTATTGTCTTTCTTTGTTCTTAACCCGGCTTCTTCATGGTGTCTTCATCTGAACCCAGGGAAGCTACCCTGGCTGGGAGTGGCCATCTTCCCTGCTACCTCCAGGACAGACCTCGTTCTCTTTATGACAGAGAAAAGATTCTCTGTGGAGGCCATGATAGGTGACCAAGCATAGTCATCTGTTCACCTTCTTCACTCTGATTCTCTTTTGCAGTGAATGATCTCACTCTTCAATACACATTCATTGTACATGGGAATAATGTGTTCCTTCTAATCAATAGAAGGTAGTCTAGGTATACCGAGGTATGATCAGCTTACCACGTAACATAATAATGACATAATTTTTACTACCAGTGACATCGCCACTGTCCAGGCCTGTAGCTAGAGAAATGTTAGTAAATATTATTGCATTGCTTGTCCCAGTTCAAAGTTCCTTTTTTTCTTTTCTTTTTGGTTGTACTGGGGATTGAACTCAGGGCTTGTGCATGCTAGGCAGACACTTTACCACTGAGCTATTCCCTAGCCCTGAAGTTTCATTTTGTAAGATGTAAAATTAGACTTCAACAAAAATTGGTAAGTTCCAGGTGCAGTAGGTAGCAGGGAAAGGAAAGAAGCACAGACACACCTAAAAGGGTAGCTACCTTTCTCAGGAAAGAAAGATGCAAGAAAAAAACGTGCAGGCAGGTCCATTCGATGCAGTGAGTCACAAGGCAGGCTCAAGGCACACTCACCCTCACCATAGATTTGGAAAGCAAGTAGTAGTATTCTTGTTTCATGCACAAGCATTGTCTTTCTTTGCTAGATGAAATACACCAATCTCCTGCCTGTTTATTTACCCCAAATATTGATTACTTGATTTGGAATTAGAGATGAGTAAGAAAGTGATATTTCAGTTTTTAAAGATGTTATTAAATGTTTAAAGACAGACATTCAGATTTCTAAAGCATGCCACTGCTACCTGCTTCACATCCCTACATCATTTAAATATTATTATCAGAGACCAATCAGAGCATCTGTCACCATTGAACTGTCTGATTTCTTTTTTGGTAGTGTGCAGCATCCCACCTCTGCAAACACAGTCATCCTCTCACATGGACACTGTGCCACAAATAGTTCTCAAATGAATAAGTTAAGGAGCTCTCATGAGTAACTAGAACTCTGATTACTACTTTTGTTAAAGGACATTTCTACTTTGTAGATGGATAATTGCATTGGTTGGAAACTTAGTCTATGTGAATGTTATTTTGGTATGCAGAGAAAAAAAGGATCAATACAAAATAAAGGGTTAAGACAGCAAGTCTATCTTGATTTTGTATGTGGTTCTTACGCTTTTCAATCTATTTACATAATATATTTCAAACTGCTCTAAAATACTGTATAAAACCTTATTTATAAAGCTTTTGGCATGCTAAAACATTGTGATTGTTCCCTGACACATTGTCCAGGTGTACCTCACAAGTCTTCTTCTGTGTAATAGCTCCTAAAACTTAAGAAATTATTCCATGCTCATGGGAAAGTATATTGTAACTATTTCATATCTTGAGAAATTGTACATTCTTCATCACTCTGAAGATTTTCACCTAAGACTGCGTGATTCAAACTATCAAACCTGAAGTCCTCCTTCCATATAGTTAAAGATAATGTTATCAATACAATCAATTACACTAGATTAAAATCAATGACACTAGATTAAAAATAATTTACCCCTATTTATAGCATCAAGGTTCAGACCTATAGTGTCCTTCAAAGTCTCGTATGTTCAGAGGTAGGGCTTTTGTAAGGGGATTGGACCACTGGAGTGTTCTGCTCATCAGTGGATTCATTCACTGATCAAATCATAGCTGATTTTTGCTCTTAGGGGATGGGAACTGGTTAGAGGGAGTCACTGGAGATATGAACTGAAAGGGCGTCTTCCTGTCCTCAGTTCCTACCTTTTCTCTATTTCCTGAGTACCATGGGTAAGCAGCTTTCCTCTCAGATCCTTCCACCATGCCGGTTCTGTCTAGGGACCAGTTGAAAATGGACTAAAGATTCTGAAACCATGAGCCAAAATACGTCTACCTCTTCATTTGAAGGTACAAATATTTTCCACAAGATACTGAGCTACCATTGGAAAAGAAGATGTTTCAAATGAACCTCATCTTTCTATAGTCTTCTAGCAAATATAAATGCAGTGAAGTCTTGTTTTTTGGTTTTTGTTTTTTTTGTTGTTGTTGTTTTTGTTTTGTCTTTTTTGAGATGGGGGTCTCCCTATGCAGTTCAGGCTGGCCTTGAGCTCACTTTGTAGCGCAGGCTGGTCTCGAACTTGAAATGGTCCTCCCACCTCAGCCTCCTGAGTGCTGGGATTACAGGCGTAGCACGCCCAGCAAATGGAGTCTTAAATAACCCAAGTTATTAAAAAGCTTTCAGGTATAGCTTTCATACTTTCAATGTAATGCCTAAAATGAACATGATTTGCTCTCCTTAGTAGTTTTCTGTCTGGCATGGCCAGGAAAGCTACCTCAGTGTAAATGACATTTCCTATTCCATGTCACCCTCTGGGTTGGCTGCCAAGAGCTACAACTTTGCAAGTCAGTGCAAGCTTTGCTGTTGGCAGAGCTTTTCCCGGTGACCAGAGTGCAAGGGTGGTTTCTGGTTTGTGCACTGTCAGCCTTTCGCT